TAATATTTTTTATATTATTTTAAAAATATTTTTATAATATTTAAAATAAATATTTTTATATTTATTTTAAATATATATTTTTATATTTAAAATCTCTCATCAGCCAATTACTTTGGGGCCCACTCTAAATCCAAGACGATATCATTTTGAGATCCTTAATCTGCAAAGACCCTTTTCCAAATAAGATCACATTCACGGTTTCTGGGGATTGGGACATGAACATATTTCTGGGGAGCATCTTTGAACCCATTACAAGCTCCTCTTGTTTTAGAAGTCATGCTTGATTATTTATAGAGTTAAAAAAGACCTTTCCCCTTACTCTCCTGAATGAGACAAGCAGGTAGGTTATGACTACATTTCACCAAAGAGCTATAATTTTTCAAACAGTAGCCTAGATATTTGTTAAAGCCTGGATTCAAGGTACACACCAGTTCTTGTATGTCTTCTTCCCAAAACAAAATGTTTTTGTAGTCCAGTATTATCAGTACATTCAGAGAAATCTCATCTTTGGTAGAAAGTTATAAGCAACATGGGTAATGTATAAATATTGTCTATGATAGGATATTAAGGAATACTGCAAATCTTCTGGTTTCTTTCTGTTTTCAGCACTCTGAAACTTTAATCTCATTTCCTAGTCAAAGAAGAGAATAATCCCATTTCAGTGGATTCTAAGACATAGATATATAACAGGTATGCAATTTTTTAAAAATGATTCAATTAACGCCTTTTGGATGTCTCTGATGATGTTATAATTTCTTGAAAATATGAGGTTGAAAAGACGTACAATCTTTTTTACCTGAAGTATGTATTATTGATTATTACGCATTTGTGCAGTGTGTCACATTTTCCCCCTTATGCCTCTTTATTTGTTGAAATTGATCTGTGCTGATCTTATTTTATCATGCGCATTATAAAAATAAACCATACTAATAAATTCCTTCGATACCAGGAACAGCTTTAATCTCATCTTTCCCCAGATTAATTTTTGTAGCTTACCTAGTCGAACGTCAGCCCTAATATTAAACTCCCCCTCCCACTTAGAAAACAAAAACAATTCACACTTATGTGAAAATTATCTACACAATTTTTCTTTGCTTGTTTTTTAATAAAATATCCAATCTAAAAGGGGTAGGGTGAAATTACAAATTTAACTACTTACACTACCTAGTAGGTTCACACACCAGCCTTTTTCATTCAAAATGGAAAATGGTGCCTATGTGACATGGGTGCACACATATAATTGCCTAGCTCTCAAAAGCCCCAGTGGAGTTTGACAGACTTGCTTTATTTTGCTCATTAACTTGGAGGGATGTACCAGATGATGAGTTTACAAAAGCTGGAACAATGGCCTTTTTAAAATATCCTCCCAAGGTCCAAGTATAGGAGCTTATCTCATAAATTCAAATGAGATCATGTACAAATCATGGTTATCATAGTACTTTAATACATATTAAGTACCTAGTAAATGTTAATTTGGACCCTAATTGCTTCAGATTCCATCCTTCCTACTTGTTTGATATGTGACCTTTGGCATATTTCCTAATTTCTCCAAGTTGTAGTTTTCTCATCTACAAAATATAGGTAAAAATAAAACCTAGCTTGTAGGATCACTCTGAGGGGGAAAAAAAGATAATCCATGTAAAAGCACTTAAAAGAGTGCTGGTTACTATAATTAATATAGAATGGTTGTTTATTACAGTGTTTCCATTGCATTGTTTTCTGTAAAGCTTTTTTAGTTGAAACTTTTTAAAAATGATTTTGTTTTATATTTAATGTTTGGATAGTTAACTATCAAGTAAGTTAGGTATTGCATGTTTGTTTATTTTGGAATCAGTCACTTAATTCATCTTTGTATTCCCCATGATGCCTTACATAAAATATGCATCCACATATGTGGTTTCAATGAGAGAGTAATTGATGCCATCCTAGTTAGTCTCTAAACTCTTGTTTTAATTGATTTATACTATTATAATGAATTATCAATAGATGGCAGTAGTTTGTTTTCATTTTTACATTTTGTCTAGTCTACAATAGAAATCCAGAAAAGAACTAAAACTTTCCCTATTTTAAAGCAGATGTTTTTTCATGAATAGTTGGTTTAAATAAATATCACCCCAAGAGTTCTTCAATTTATGTTGCTTTAATTTTTTAAAAAAATATTTTTATTGATTTCAGAGAGGGAGAGAGAGATAGAAATATCAATGATGAGAGTGAATCACTGATCGGCTGCCTCCTGCATGCCCCCTATTAGGGATCAAGCCCTCAACCCAGGCATGTGCCCTTGACTGAAATCGAACCCGGGACCGCTCAGTCCTCAGCTCTATCCACTGAATCAAACCAGCTAGGACAATTTACGTTGCTTTCGAAATATAGATCGAGAAGTACCAGTTACTTTATTTTTTATTGTATGAATCTTATTTTATTTTTTAGGTTTATTTATCAAATACTTTAGAGAACACAAAAATAAATCAGACTTTGTATTTGCCTTTCTGGAGCTTAGTCTAATTGAGAAATATAGTGTAAAATAATGGAAATAGTAAGAATAAAAATTTGTTGAGCAGCAGCAGTTTTCTAAATGCTTTACATGTATTATTTCATTTAGTCCTCACAATAATCCTAACAAGGCAAGTATGGTGTTGTTCCCATTTACAGATAAGAAATCTAAGGATAATTTACCTAATAAAATAGTAAATGGCACAACCTGGATTTAAGACTATTCTGTCTTACTCTACTCTTATAAATCAAAATTTAATAAATATATAGAAAAAATTGCGCGCGCGCGTGCGAGAGAGAGAGAGAGAGAGAGAGAGGGAGGAGAGAAATCATATCTACCTAGCAAAATCAAGAAAAACTTCTTAAAGAAGAGGCCATCTACAGAGAGCTGAAAGATTGGTTGTAATGTTGACATGATCAGAACAGGATTTTAGGAGCATTATCAGTAGTATTGAACTGGAATGGAGATAGAGTACAGTTAGATACCTATTATGTGTAAGGTATTGTTCTGGGTCTCTGCCCTCATGGAGCTTATGTTAGTAAATGAAGGAAGAAAAGAAATAAATGTATAAGATATCAGTGGTAATAAATGCTATTAAGGAAAAAGCAAGGCAGAGTAAGGAAATGGAGGATAGAGGGAAGGTAATGCTTTAGAGAGGGTTATCAAGGAAGACTTCTCTACTAAGATAGTATTTGGAAGTGGTAAGGAATGATTGGATTCCAATGTAATTTAAAGATGGAAACAATGAGTTCTGCCAAAAAAATTACATGCTGCTTGTAAGAGAAAGAAAAGAGTCAAGATTCTGGCTCATTCTTTGGGTAAAACAAATGGGGCAGCAATCATTGGCCACTTACTTAGGGAGGATTTCTGAAAGGACCTATGATCAACAATGAGCTCTTATTTATGACGAGAGGCCCGATGCATGAAATTTGTGCAAGAGTAGGCCTTCCTTCCCCCAGCTGCCGGCACTGGCTTCCCTCTGGCACCCAGGACCTGGGCAGGCTTCCCTCCGGCCACCTGCAGGCACCCGGGACCCGGGCTGGCTTTCCTCCGGCCCCGGCTTTGTCTGGAAGGATGCCTGGAAGGACATCTGGAAGGGTGTCCGGTCTAATTAGCATATTATCCTTTTATTATTATAGATTATCTTAAGCAAGTCTGATTCAGTTGTCTTGGGCTCTACACTCTTCTAGAGACCTCCCTAGTAATATCTCCAAGTTTTTGGGCCTGAACAAGAAAAATGAACTTATAATTTACTGAAATGGAGAAGACTGTGAAGAAGCAGTTTTTGTGGTGGTGATAGATAGCAGTTGACAGAGAAATCAGGAGTTCACTTTGGAACATTTAAGTTAAAATGACTATAAGAAATCCAAGTGGAGATATCAGGTAGGCAGTTTGGTATCAGTCTAGAGCTTAAGAGGGATGTTCAGGTTCGAGATATAAATTTGGGAGTTATTAGCCTTTAAATGGATTTTAAAGCCATGGATCTGGATGGCATCACCTGCAGAGTGAGTATATGGAAAAGAAGAGGCCTGAGGATTGAGCATTGGAGCACTCTAACATAAATGAGAAAGATAAGGAGGAACCAGCAAAGGAAACCAAAAGTATGGTGTCTCAAGAAGAAGGACATGATCAAATGTATCAAATGATGCAGATAGGTCAAGAAAGAAGAGGACTGAACTTGTACATTGACTGTGGCAACATAGAGGTCACAGATACTTTGTTAAGAACTTGTTTTAAAAACTAGGGGTGAAGAGAGTTCCAAAAATCTCTCATCAGGAAATTGGGCTGTCTATTTTGGTGTTCTATAAATTTAGGGCTTGAATCACATTTTCAGCTGGCAGCTTTAAAAACAGAATTATTCTACAAAGTATAATTGTCACCATTAAAAATGAAAGTATAAGACTGAATGACATTAGCAGAGATAATGTGTTTTTCCATTTGTGTGGAACTTCACCATGGGCAAGAGACAATTTCTGAGAAGTTTATATTTGGTTTTAGATGATGAGGAGGAGGGAAAAGTGAAATCTGTCAGAAATATAAGTCAACAGATCTTTGACAGTTATGCACCCTAAGACCCATTTGCATTATGTATAATATATGGTGTACTTGGAAATGAGTAATCTAGTAATCTTCAGGGTAGGAGCAAAAAATTGTAGTCAAGAAGGGAAGTCTGCCAAATATCTAGCCTGAGGAGTTTGTAGTGATGAAACAGGGAATGAAGAGTGAAAGGAGAGGCAAAAGAGGAGCTGTGCTGGACAGGAGGCTGGAAATGATGTAGAAGCCACACTGCTCTGCTGGTTCCTGGTGCCCCGAGTCCCAGGGTGCCAGGCAGTATAGGTGGGACTCACTACAGTGACCTTGCAGTGAAATCTACCATAATTGATGTTGACATCTATGCTAATAGCATTGGTCCTGAGTCATCAATAAACATGAGTGGATTCCAACATGGTGGCCGAGTAAGTGGAAGCTATACTGACACGCTCCCAGGACCAAACTGGAATTAAACTAAAACACAGAAAAACCATCCTGAATAACCAACTGAAGATTAGATGGAGAGAACCCTGATAACCAAGGATGGAAAGTGAAGACCGCATAGAGACTGAGAAGAAGTGAGAAGGTGTGAAAGGGCTGGTCAGGCTCCCCCAGACAGCAGCTGAAGTTCTGGAGGGATATCTCAGCTATGGGAGGTTCCCACTGAGAACTCTGGGGTCTAAACTCCAAGCTGGGTTCCCCAGAGCACCAGACTGAGAAAGAGGCCCATAAAACATCTGGCTGTGAAAAGCAGTAGGGCTGCTGTCTGCCAGGGAGAAACAGCTGGAAATGCAGGCAACATTTAACCCATTGTATGCCATAAGCATCTGTAGACGTAAGCGGAGGACCTTCCCCATATGCCACACACATCTATAAAAAAAAAAAAAAGTTTTCCCTAAGGGGTAGCCCTGACCAACTTTAAAATCATTTTTCGTGAGAATTTTCAGCTGAAAATATTCAAGAACACCCGAATTGTGAGTAATATATTTATTTTTATAATCATTGCAAATTGATTTTTTAATTAAATTCAAAATATCATGGCATGTGGGGATGGTTTCCATTTTGGACGTATGGCAGTTAACTGGTTAAAGGGCCAATAGACAAAATTGCATATACAGCCACTCACCTTGGGATCCAGCAGAGGGAGGGCAGAGTGGACTGGAGC